CAAACTGCCTGTTCCTCTGCGCGGTCGTGAGAGCGTCCCCGGTTAAACCCCAGCCAAGCAGCCGCCCGGTTAGTTTTTTTTTTTTTTTTTTTTTTCCCCACACCCCCGTTGGGGGGGCCGCCTTCCCCACCCCANGCGGCCCCGGTTAAACCCCCGCCAAGCAGCCCCCCGGTTTTTTTTTTTTTTTTTTTTTTTTTTTTACCTACACACCGGCTTGGAGGTGCCAGCTTTCCTGCGTCAAGTTTTACAAGGGTGAGAGAGGGAAATTCCGGAAATCAAGCGACGGCCTTACACAATAAAAGCACGGATGGGCACGCCATTAACATGATGAACCTGCATCCACACCTGGACTAAACCTTAGCATATTCCAGTTTAACTTGCGGATTACTGAGAAGAAATAAGATCATCTTTGCACCCTAATACACAATTTAAAACGGAGCAACTGCCACTCGTATGGAAGAGTCTCAACATTTATGTATTTATTTCAGTGGCCTGCCCACACAGTCTTTTATGCCTGGTTTTCTTAAATGCATGAAACAAAGAGGTAAATAAATGACACGCTTTATTTGTTTACTTAAATATGTTTTCCCTTTTTGTCCTTCATAACATCCAATTTTATGGTCATTTACATTTAGCTCCACTCACAAGGATCACTTCTATATGTCACAATTTATCAGTTTCCTAAAATCATTGACACTGAAAAACTTCTTGTTTTACCATATCAAATCTGTTTTTTGTTTTTGTTTTTTGTTTTTTTGTAAGTTGTACCATAACATCGTAGATTAATAAAACTCTAAAGATTCTGTTAAGGTTCTTGGATTTGCCTGACCTTTGCTGAAAACTGTGATCTCTGTCAGCATACAACCTTTTAATTTATCTTGGAGCTCATCTACAGACGTGTTTTCTCTCCCAGATGAAGCCACTAGAGGAAGCAACAACACAATGCACCTGACTGTCCTCTGTCACTACACACTTAATTGGATTGAATAGCCTATTTTTCTTTTTTTTTCTGATTTGAATTGGTGCTACATAAATAAACTGAATTGAATTGAATTTATTTGACGTGTGTTTTGACATTTGTTGTCTCCCACCGTAATATGACAGATATGTAATAAAACATACAATTCTGGTTTTGGTCTGTTGGGGATTTTGGTGTGCCATGCTAAGGTTGTTAGCACTTCTGGCCACTCCTTAGAAAACAGTGTGAGGTATATTTACTGTAGTTGTGTACAAAGTGAGAAATAGGGGCCATTTGTGGCCCTCTGAATTATTTTATGCAATTGTAGTATGTGGCTGGAAGCACAGGCGGTTGATGTAGACTCATTTTTATCTTTTATTTTTCCTTCACATGTCCACACACGTGAAAGAAAGTAGTGTGGGTGTAGACATCAGAACTGACTCAAGCCCTGGACCAATTCTCATAGATCCTTCCTTGGGCAAGATAAACTGCACTGCATTTATTTACAACGTCAACAGAACCACAGTTGAACATGTATTAATTTTCAAAAGTTGGAATTGGGAAGGGGGGGGGGGGGGGGGGGAAGGGAGTTTTTTTTTGAAACACAATAAGG